TATGATCTACTGTCATGACTCAACATACACCTAAACAAAATCTTATAAATTTCCTAGACTATTGTACACCAATTTTATATGTAGTATAATTATTGGAACAAGTTGCTCAACACCATCCACATACTGTACACATTTTCATGATGTCACTTTTCTTAGTGCATTCTGATACAAGTGTCCTTTAACAGTCATATGAAACTCCAGTCTTCACAGGTGTAACTATGTATAACTTCATAATCCACCCCATAAAGTTCCACATTAAGAATCCAATTATTTCAAACATAAACAAAGTATATTAGGCAGTTGTATTTACATCAGATGCTATACAGTATATAATTCTGGATGCTTCAATTTTCAGAAATAATTCATCTGGGCACACAGACATTGGTTTAAAAATAAAAGTTTTTGAGGTAAATTTCATAAAGTTAACACATGAGGCATATAATTTGTTTTTAGTTTAGAGGATTTTACTTTTATTACAGAAGGAATTCTATAACTATTAAAAAAATAATTCCCTTTTTAAATGACCAGTTACAATATTTACTTGGAAAAATTTTTTTTTGGCTATTCTTCAGATCAGGCAAGAGTTTTGGACATTTTCAGGACTTATGATTACTATTTCAGTTCCAAAACTTTTTTCTTCATAATACAGTACATATGAAAATATTATTGCATATATCACTGACACACTGTAAAACTAAAATAAGGCAGGAACTATCAAAAGGGTTCCATAGAACAGCTATTCCTCTATGTATAAAAGAGATGAACTGCTAAAAAAAAAATAGATACCTGTTATGAAATTTTTTAAATCTGGAGGCCTTTTCTCGTAAACCCTTTAATCTCCACTCTGGGATGCAACTTTTAATATATATTTGGCTAATGCCAGACAATTGTATTCAGTACAGAGATCCCCCCTTATACCCAAGGGGTTGATAAACAATCACCACTGACTTCTTCACTTGAGGATGCCACTTTTAATATTTTAATTGGCTAACGCCAAGCTCCAACAACTAAATGGATTAAAGACTATCTTTTTAACTCTTTAACCCCTACGGTGCAATTCCCACACCGTATGTGACAAACCCCAGTGCAATCACTGCACCATATGCAGTAATAATTTTCCCACCCATACTATATAGGGAGGTGGCTATGACACACAAATTTTCTCTAGGCCTACGAGTGTCTTCTCAGTAATGGCTAAGAGTAGATGTGCATCCGTGCCTCGGTATGAGTGCCCAGGAAATCGAGGAGTGATTATAGTTGTCTGGTAACGAAGGATATGATAATAGTGGTGAGAGAGAGAGAGAGAGCACATGTATGTTAAAAATGCTTGTGCGTACGTATGTATGTAAGTGCTTGATAAAATGAGATGTACGTACTATGTCTGAGCCCACCCCACTCCGCAGTCGGAGTATGTTTGTGAATGTGCATGTATGGGTGTGGGTATGCAAGTGTAGATGTGTAAGTCTGTGTGTAAATGAACTCGTGTGTGTTCGCGTAAATTGTGGTCATAATTATTGCATAAAATGTCCTTTTGCATCATCTGACACAATTTTGAAGGGTCAAATATTTTTTACATACATACTTTTACTCTATTTTAACCCTCTTAACCACTGATCGGCTCGTTAACTGCTTGGGCAATCGGTCATGTTTCTGTTACGCACTGTTGGCTGGGCATGCACTGGCTCATGAATATATCAGAACCTGCTCCAGTGTTGGTCACGTCTGGCCTTCAATGACCTCACACTCGGTGCTGTCACAACACTCTTTGGCAGTGTTCCAAGAGTTCACAATTCTCACTCCGAAAAAGTTTGCCCTCACAGTTTTCTGGACTTGTGGCTTCTTCAATCTTGAGCTGTAACCCCTTGTGGGGCGGATGTCAGCCAGCTCCAGGTATGTACAAACATGCAGAAAGTCTCCTATCCACGCTAGGACACTTCCTCGAATCCTGTACCCTTCCAATTTAATTCTCAGCCTTTCATGGGGGTATGCTGTCAAAAGCCTTGGCAAAATCTAGGTATACAGTATATTGCTGATATTTCTGCCTTGTTCTAATATTTGAGTCAAAACATCCAGTACCTTGAGTAATTGTGTTAAGCAGGATCGTACCGGCATTAAACCATGTTAGCAGTCCTTTAAAAGGTTGTTTCGTAGCATATGTTGCATCATGGCATCTTTTATAATGCTCTCTAGTATTTTGCACATTATGCTGGTCAGGCTCACTGGTCTATAATTATTTGTGGAGTTATGATCACTTTTCTTGAATATAGTACAGTAGGGTCGGAATATTTCGTGACTTTATATAAAAAAAAAATTTATATCGCGGCTATCGAAATCATCAAATTTTTTCCTATATATAGCGATAATTTTTTTTTTATTTTGTGAGGGAAATCGGACAGGAAATATTTCAAATTGTACCGCCATGGCAAACAAATGCGTTATTTGCTCACTCACGCATTCACGCTTGCCCGCTCAGTCTTTCTGAGTGAGTGACGAGAAAGCATCCGACTGCTGCAGATTACGACTTCTCAGGTGAGTGTAAATGGGTTGCAAGTGACATGAAAAGTGAAGTGAAGATAATGGAAAAGATTTAATACTGTAACTAATATTTTTGGTGGTTGTTTATGTAGGTGTGGGATTGTCAAGTGAGGGTGGCAGTGTGGCATCTGCTGCAGAGTCTGGTATTCCCAGGATGGTGTGTCAGCTGCTGAGTTTGGTGTTCCTTAATATTGAAATAGCCTGTTGTTCCCGAGTCTAGTGTTCATGGGTGCTTTAGTTAGTAAGAAAATGAACTTAAATCAAGTTTAGTCACTTTTTTTGGCTTCCAGAACCTAACCGTATTTCCCCCATTGATTACATGTAATTATATATCACGATTTAGTATATAGCAAACATCGTTGGACCCTATCTTGCGATATATCCCGACCCTACTGTACTCACAAAGTCATTTTCCAGTCATTTGGGACCTTTTACTCATCCAGGCATTTGCAGAACAGGATCTTAAGGGGCTCCGCAAGCTCATTACATAGTTTTCTTAACCCTGGGGTGCACCATATCAGGGCTGGGACACTTGTGAATCTTTAGCTTTGACAGTTTATTTTTTATAACATCTGAGAAAACAATGTGGGTCAGCACTGTGTCAAACCGTATTTCCTCAAATACAGGAAGAGTGTTCGCATCCTCTCTTGTGAACACCGAGGGAAAGAAATGAATCAACGCCTCCACCATATTCTGGTCAGAATCTGCATACCGGGTAACTACCATCTTCAAGCCTCAGGTTCGATGTGCTTACTCAAGTTTTTAATTTTGACTTTGAGTAGCGGTAAAAGGCCTTGGGGTTTGACTTTACTTCACTTGCAATCTGCCTCTGGAACTCTTTTTCAAGCCCTTCTACACTCTGAATTTGCTTGGTTCCTGGATCTGGCATACATTTCCTGTCCTGCTCATCATTTGTCCGTACCCACATCTCGAAATCCTGAGTTTTCTTCTTAACTTTGCTGACCGCCGCTTGGTTATGTGTAGCAGTCTCCTTGTACAGTATTCTTGGAGGCACTGGGTTTGATCTTAGGTATATATTTATTGAACGAATGGTTAACTTTACTGGCTATGATATTCAGCATAGAATCTGCATTCATATTCTTTAGTAAGTCAGGCCAGTGTATACTCCTCATCTTCTCCCTCATCCCAAGAAACAGTTAAATCTGAATGACAACGTTGCGTGGTGACTGGTGCCAAAGGGAGCTTGGTGTTCCAGCGGTTTGGGTGTTTGCTCCCCTCTGTAGTGAGTTGGATCTTTAACATGTTGGAATAGAAAACTGTCTCACAGAGTTTTTACATGCATGAATGTGTATGTGTAATGTATATTATATATGTGAGTGTATCTATGTGTGCACTTATGTGTATAAATGAAAATATACATGGAAGTGTGTGCACGTGTGTATCTAGTGTATGTGTGCACTTATGTGTATAAATGAAAACATACATGGAAATGTGTGCATGTGTATTGGTCTGTGTCTACATACAAAATGTGACCATATACTGTTATTTATTGCATAAAATGTATATTTACATCATATGACACAACTTTGGAAGGTCAAATATTTTTTTTAATTTTTATCTTTATTTTTCTACTTTTCCTTCAATCTGGGGCTACAGTTATCTACTCAGGATTTGCTTCAAAGGGGTTAAGGAGTAGTGTTGTACTTTAGTATTTTATTTTGGCTCATGCCAGATGTTTTAATTAAGCTGAGACAAACCCCCACAACTAAATGGGTTAAAATACTATCTCAATTAACCCTTTAAGGAGTAGTGTCGCATTTAGGTATTTCATTCTGGTTAACACCAGACTACAGTATTTTATTCAGCGGAGAGAATTTCAAGCACTCAATGGGTTAATTTAAAGGGAAAAATTAGGGGTGTGTTCAGAGCAGTCTTCTCAACCAATCTCTTTCCCTAAAACCATGTAAATTCCATAAAAAAATACAGTAATGCAGTAAAGGCAAAACTGTACAGCACACAGATAAAACAATAATTCGGCTAAATGAAAAGAATAGTAAACCTTTTCATGGTACTGTACTGAAGTCACTTAAATTTTTAGTCACCTCTCAACTTACACGGATTTAATTTTCACTTTTTAAATAACACAAGTACTCTATTAAATTAATACCCATTTAAAAAAAAAATTATATATATATATATATATATATATATATATATATATATATATATATATATATATATATATATATATATATATATATATATATATATATATATATATATATATATATATATATATATATATTAATAGCAGTTTTGAAAAGAGGGCCATTGTGTGAGGCAGTGTAGTTCAGCACCTCATTGCTTTCCTACTTTACGAAAAAGGAATACTAACATCACCTGAACCTCAGCCATCGACATCTGGCATCTTGAAAGCTCCCACTTCTCCCCCACCACCTGCTCTGTCATCTGATTCAGATGACTCCCTCCCCCAGCAACCCCTTACCTCTCCTACACCACCACCCCATCCCAGCCATCGTTCAACGTAAATGTTAGCACAAATTTTTGTTTAAAATCCATTTTCTTACTACTGTATTATTAGGTTTACTGCTATTATTGTATTATGTATATTATTACAGTTTTTAGGGAGCATTTCTCCTAACCCTTGCCATTTCCTTTATTTCTTATGGGATAATTAAGTTTGATTTACACGGCCATTCTCAAGAATGTAACTACCGGTACGTACCATGTAAATTGAGAGACGGCTGTATTTATAACAAAATGTGCCGGGAGGGTAACATATTAGTGTGTGTACCTTACATAATATTTAGTGCAGCTGTACACTAAGTGTCAAAGACAAAACAATTAGGTTACCAAGTGTATAGATTTACATTTAAATATTTTATTATCCGGTGGGTTTGTTTTTAATAAAAATATTATTATTATTATTTTTTTAATAAAAATGCACAGGAGAGAATAATAGTGAGAAAGAGAACATTTCACACACGGTGATGAGCTTGTCTTGTGTCGTGGAGGAGTCCTTAAGTGTTTATTTGAATTGTAGTTTTATTTTATTATTTTACAGTATTTTATAACATGATAACTATTTAAATGTCATGAAATAGTGTTGACATGGGTCTGGGGCAGTATAGAATAGAGGCTTTGTAATACAATGCTATTTTTATATTTAAATAATTGTCCATTTTATACAATTTGGGTTTATGCTAAAAAATATTTTTGGTATACAATCCTCGCATGCTTGAGAGACTTTATACTTTCTCCCTAGATGTTCCCTATAGATGGCTTCCTTTTGGAACTCAAAAAGGAGATGATGGGCATAAAAAAATAAGCCATGAAACAAACGGAACGCATTTACTAGCGACACAATTAACAGTACACAAAAGGTTGCCAGACAGTGACAACTGAGGATGCTGGGATGCACTGTACCGATGGTTTTTCCTGCCGTATACTTTATTAATTTCGTACCTGTGTGGGTTTTTGTGAACGTGAAAATTGCTTGCGAATATAGAAAAGTGGTCCCTAATTTATTTACTTTGTTTAAGTGAAATTTTGGATAGAAATGGTTGTAAATAGAGGAATAGCTGTATAAGAATGGGCAAGCGCTTTCACTTACATCTTAAACCCTGTTTACAAAAGCATTCACCTTTCCAGGAGATTTCGTTACAATGCCCATTTCATAAAAGAACCTAAAAAATTCATTAACAACAAGACAAATCATGTTTATTCCTTTGCTTAAAAAAAATATATATTAAAAAATACTGCAAACCTTTTAAAAAAACAATCTAATTTTTTTTTTACCTTATTACATGGACAACAAATGACCAAACACAGTACTGTATATACATAAATATATTAAAATTATCAACATATATGCTCACCACCCAATGGTGTAGCCTAAGCAGAACAAATTATAGGCCATATTTCAAATGCTATGTTTTTTTTCTTCTGATTCCACCTTGACTTTGTTACAGTATAAGAAGTGCATTAGCCTGGACATGAATAAGTGGTGACTGCTACACATGATCCCACTGACAACAGATGAAGATGGAATGAGCTAAATATCTGGAATGATTAGGTTGACATTAATGAAGTGCATTTGAAAGATGGCATCACATTTTCTAATGTATTCTGTAACTTGCAATTTAGTGACCTTAACTAGAGAAAAGTCCGACCATATCAAGTTTTTCCTTGGCATCCACAATGAAGCTTTCTTTAGAGGCTGTAAAAAGGGAAATATCTCTGCTGATCTCTTTCAAACTATTTAGAATCTTTCGCGTACTTATTAAAAGATAAAAAAAACAAATTCCCTATCAGTTTGTATCCCATCAAGAATTGTCAATATTTTAAATACTGTATATGACATACAACTAACTGTATCTTATCTTGAACCTCAAAACAATCTTAAATTGCATATTTAAGAGATCATAAATGTAGAAACAGCAGCTGAAGGTCACAAGAAATGTTTCACTATCTAAAATTTGAAGATACATTACATCTTTTTGAATCTCAGCACCAGAGGGCAGCATAATTACCCTTGAGAGATGCTGGCAGTGGACCACCAGCAGTAAAGAGTCTCATTCCTGACCAGTCATAACAGTGGGTATATATTGCAGGAGTGTATTCAACATTATGAAAGACGTCATGGTACTGATCATCTGCACTTACCCATCCTCTAGTACTCTTCAGCACGACAGCTCGTCCACTGTAGAAGAGAGCATTTTAAATAGTTGATATTACTTAAATGGTTTATTTTAAAAATACTGTATTTTAATTTTAATGGTACAGGGGGTCCCCTGGTTACGAACGGGTTCCGTTCCTGAGGACGTTCTTAAGTCGAATTTGTACCTTAGTCAGAACACATGCTATGTGCATATCGTACTTACAAAACAATGTTTAAAATCCCACTATATTATAGCCTAAGTCCTTATATACATCTAAAATCACTTAATTTAAGAGAAAAGAAGAAATAGAATAACAAAATACAGTAAATGAAAGTAAAAAAATCAGTCATCAGGTAAATAAAATACAGCTCCCCAATTTACGACGGGGTTAGGGACCCAATTCCAGGTTGTAAGTCGAAATGGTCGTAAGTCGAAAATGCTTAAATAATACATAGAAAATCTAAAATGGGCGTCTCTTTTTCTTCTCGGCGCCACAAAACTCTCACTTTTAAGCTTGCCAGCCATTTTAAAGTGAATTACAAACGAAAAATTTTTCTGTGTACTGACGGGACTCGAAAATACGTAATTTGACAAAATTTTGGTACGAATGAGGCAGGTCGTAAGTGTGGGTGGTCGTAAGTCGAGTTGGTCGTAAGTTGGGGAGGAGCTGTACTGTCAATTTAAAGTTTAACCCCATTCGTATTGGTGGACGTTCCTAAGTTGGGGACCCTTGTATACCCATAATACGGTATAGAGAAAAAAAGACAAGTGCCAGTACACTATGCACACTCCAATACTGGTATGTCATGAAGGACTGGGGAATAAATATTATAAAAATATTTATTGATACTAATACAGACGTATATCAGCCATGAACAAACAATGACGACGACTTTAACGCTGGGGGGTATATTATAAACTCTTCTACACTCAACAAACCTGTGGAGTTTTACAAGTTTACTGCATTTTGTAGATTTAATGGCGATGGCAATAAAAAATTACTTCTTGTTAAACAAACAATTACCTACTGTAATGATGTTTCATGATTATACACTTCAGATGCCCCCCCCCCCACCTTTGAATTTTTCTATGGAGGTCCCAGAGGATTCAAAGAATATGGAAAGCCAAGAAAATTATTAAAGTTGAAGGGATGGATCAAGTACATTGGGAGATGATTTAAAGGAAGGGGACAAAAACAAAAACAATTTGCATGATAGCTGTGGTGTTTACCAGTGCACATTTTTTTTTCACAGGAAACCATGAAAATATATCAACAAAACTAACTGTATGAGATGGAAAGGGGGAATACAACGGGACTCTCACCTGTTCATAGTTGATTCCATATATTTCCCAGCTCGCATATCATAAAACATGATGGCACCCACTCCTGTCCCTATTGTTAGAATATCACCATGGAAGCTTACAGATCGAATGCCACATCCAGTAATTCGAGCATTCACCTGATGACAAACAAAGCATATGTATGAATCAAAGGTTAAATACTGTACAATGTATAAATTCTATAAAAAATAACAAGACATAGATGTACTGCTGATGAGCCTTACATTGTAATACAGTTATATCCCTGTTAGCCGGAATCCCTCTTAACCGGAACTCTCCGATAGCCGGAATTGAAATTTTCCAATGGGCCCATTTTCTGGAAAATTCCAAGAAAAATTTCCCAGTACCCGGAAAATTCAAGGGATGAGGGAGTTTTTAAATCAGGCACATTTTCCGGAAATTCTGCGAAGAATTTTCCTGTACCGGTAAATTTTAGGGGATGGGAGATATTTTTCCTGGTTCGTGAGATGACGTAATGCGCAATTTCTGGAACTAACGAGAACATTGTTCCATTACCCAGAAAATATCGGGGATGTGGGATATTTTTCCGGCCTTGAGAGAGTCGTCTCGTTACCCGGAATCTCTCATTCCCAGATGTGCCTTGCACCAATTGTTCTGGCTAACGGGGTTATCACTGTAGCTGCCTTGGGGGGAAGGGGAAATGTCTGTGCTAGAAGCATAATTTAAACTCTCAGAAAACTTTCCCCAGCACCCGTAAACATTCTAGGGATGTGCGATACTGTCTGTCCGTGTGAAATATGTAGTTAATACTCAGAAAACTTTCCCTCGGGGATGAGAAATTTGTCTCAACACCCGGAAATCTCTCATCCCCGGAAGAGCTCTACACCAATTATTAGGGCTAACAGGGATATCACTGTACAATAGAACCTTGATAAATATGACTAATTGGGACAGAAACCCAGTCCGATAAATGACAAAGTTCGAAAAAAGCGAATCTATGGGGGGGGGGGAATAACACTGCTTATCTGAACTGTTTAAAGAAAATCGTTATTTTATTACGTACTGCATTTCAACAATTAAGGTCTTTAAGTGTATAACAAGGTTATTAAGACTATTACATCAACAATAAAAAAATATGAAACAGAACTCTGGGTTGAAAATAAGACATAAGTCTGGTTGTCAACAACTGTTGTCACCGAGATGAATGTTATTTACTGTAAAGTGTTATATGTAACTAACCACTGAATTTGTCTTTACTGCCATACAACATCATATGGGTATCCCCTGGGTTACGGATGGGTTCCATTCCTGAAAATCTTTCTGTATCATAAAACCATTTTTCCCATGACTCCCGCCATGTAAGTTGAGATACGTTCCCAAGGAAATTTTTGGCAGTCCCAAAACGTAACACAAGTACTGTACATACATGAATGAAAATAGACACATACAATGATTCATTCATGACATAACATGACACTAAATGCACACAATTGAATTTAATTCACCAGAAATGATAAGTGCTGCAGGAGGTGGTGAGGTAGTGTGGTCAGAGTTACCTCTTTAAAACATCATGTTTATTGTCCAACGTAATGCCTTTACGGAATCTTTTATCACCACTGCTTTTACTTGAACTTGATGGTCTTTTTACACTGACCTTAAATAAGGGTACACGTTAACACAGATGCCTAACTGAACACAAACTGGGGAAAGAATTCAAACTGAGCAGTGCCATTGCTGTGGTGCCTGCTGGGTAGGTGAGCCGCCCTCTCCAACCATCCTGTAGCTACCACCAAGAATCCACAAAAAAGAGAGAGAGAGAGAGAGAGAGAGAGAGAGAGAGAGAGATTTTTGTACTTCTCATGCCATGTCAGTACAGTACCTCATTGGATACCCTATATATGTGAATGTTTTGCTTTTTAATGAATGGTGCCTAAATGTAGATTAAACTTTGATACCATGTAATGCTAAGGACCGAACATAAACACTTTCCACAACTGCAGGAGGAGGCTACTTTAGGAGATCAATGTAAATAAATGCATTCTGAAAAGTTTTCTTCTTGCCAAAAATAATCCTCCCTACAGTTAAAATGGAGAGACAGTGACTGCTTGTGACACATAAGCTGTCATTAAATTAATATATATGAAAATAATTAAATTAATATATCAAGCCCATTTATATAACCTTAATGCAGATTATAGTCAGCGCCATGAGTAAAGAGACAATAGCAAGAAAGGACACAAGGGCTGAATAAACTAATTACGTGCTTTGTTCAGCTTCTGATGTCAACTCGATAAAAAACTGCAATTTCTCATGAGTAAGTTACACACACAAAATAAGAATCTTACCTTTCTGACATAATGTAAAGTTCTAGGATCAAGCAGAGTTGTATGTGATTTAGATCCTATTGCATATAGAGAGCTATCTTCTTTTCTGGTGAGACAAACATTTTCCATAGCGTGCGGAAGTTTACGAGACATTTTCTGAACAAAACGATTTGCATCCCACACATGAAGGTATGCATTTAGGGACAAAGCAACGATCTCAACAAAGTTGGGATTGAATATGACAGCCCGTACTTTCTCTGCTCCATTACATTTCTTAACTTTCACTGGTTTTATGTACCCATAGCTAGGGAGAACATTGGAGTCGTCCTTTTCCATGTCATCATCAATTTTCCATAAAGACAAGCGGGTATCTCTTGACCCTGATACAAGAAATTGGTCATCCAACCAACACATGTCAAAAATCCAGTCATTGTGGGCTTTTTCACCAACACACACCGGGTCTAATGTTGGAAGTCTGTACACAGCAATATCATTAGAATTTAGAGCACCAGTGGCTAAGAGTGTTCTAGATGGATTTACTTCTATAGAATGGATTCCACACTGCTGTTCTGGTGGGCGGTGTAATTCTGAACTTCGCAGAGAAGGAATTGTAACCATTTGTCTTGTATTGACATCATAAACCTTTAGCTTATTGCACTTAGTTCCCATTGCTATCTGATGATCACTCAACCACTGGGAGCAGAAAACCTGTGGAAATAATGGGAATCAATATTCAAATACCAAATGTTGAAGTAATACATAAAATAAAAGTTTAATAGGTTACCGACAGGTATACATGTACAGTATATACAGTACAGTATACGAGTATATATTATACAGGGTGTTTAGGAAATACGTTTCATAATTCTGGGGATGTATTCCTGAGACATACATAAAGGTAAAAAGACTTCATGACCATAGTTTCAATACCCCATATTTTCAGTTATAACACATGACAGTTGGGGTTGGAATGTGATAAAATCAACAGAGTATAGGGCAAGGCGGCCCTGTTCCATGGCCACCTTGTTCACCTGACCTAAATCCCCTTGACTTCTACTTGTGGGGTCATGTTAAAAGCAAAGTGCATGCTACAGAGGTTCCGAATTGTGGCGCCGAATGCAAGACAGTACCACAAGTATTTGCAACTGGCTGAAGCCTGCATTCAGGAAGAAGGCTGGAGCTTTGAACACTTACTGTAAAAATCCATATCAGATTGCATGGCTGTAAATAAATTGTACAGTACTAGCAACGTTGAATATTTCATTTACTGTATACTCTGTAGATTTTATCACATTCCAACCCCAACTGTCAATGACAGTCTGTCATGTGTTACAAATCTTAAATTATGGAGGTATTGACACTATGGTCATGAAGTCATTAACCTTATGTATGTCTTAGGAATACATCCTCAGAATTATGATACGTATTTCCAAAACACCCTGTATACATATATACAGTACAGTATACAGTATATTCAGTGGGATATTTCAAACATCTGGGAATGGATGTATTGAGTGAATGAATGAGGAAATGAACCACAGAAGTGAAAGGAAAACAAGTACAGTACAGTAGAAGTCCAAAAATCCGGACTGCTTGGGGATTGGGTTGGTCCGGATTTTCGGATTTTCCGGATTCTCAGGCAGTACTTTTAAAATTAAAATTTAAGGAGGAATAAAGAAGAGATGAACAAGTATATTTTGATAGTTTATTCATTGTCAAATAAAGCATACTTCATTCATCAAAACGAGCAGTTTTAAAGAAAAATAAAGTCAACACTAGACAAAAATGTAAACAAACTGTCTAATACCATGACGAGTCTTGAAATTCCTAAGCCATCCATCACTAAATGCGCACTGTGATTCAATGTTCATTTGCTCCTTAAAAGACTTTGCTTGGCAATAAGCATCGGCCCAGAAATTGCCATACCTTCTGATCGTTTTAACAAAAACCATTCGTGCAACACTTTATCAAGATTTTCTAATTTGGGCCAATATAAACTTTTTCTTTCAGCAATTTTATTGTAAGGCTCAGAAGAAGCTGTGAATTCTAGAATTTTATTCTTTGCCTTTTTTATATCATAAATTGTAGACTTTCCAATGTTGTATGTTTCCATTAGAACAGCACTGCTCACATTACATTCTAGTTTCTTAATTATTTCAAGTTTGTCACTCAATTTCAATGTGTTCTTCTTTTTTTTCACACAACAAAGTTTATCTACTTTAGGGGCCATTATTATGGGCTTGTACTCTGTACATGGAAAGAGCAGGACTCAAAATCACATACGTTGTCACAGTTTGATTGCTTGTTTTAAAGTGGCGATCGTGTGGTCGTTTGTTGTCACGGTGCAGCTGTGGCATTCACTCATGCACACATACACACAAAAGATTTATAGTGCCTCAAATTTTACATTTCAGTTCAAGCTAATTACAAAACTAACAAAATTAGCTTCCTATAATTTACAATTAATTTTATTATTAGAATTATGTAAATTAATTTTTTAAAGCAACTCCATTCATTCACATAACCCACAAAAGCCCGCTAAATTTAAAAAGTTTGAGTTTTCGAAAAGTCCGGATTCTCGGGTGGTCCGGATTCCTGGCATCCGGATTTTTACTGTACAGTTATAACGAATGTGAAGAGAATAGAGCACTGTGTTAAAGGTGACAGATGGAATGTACAGAAGCTACATCTTCCCCCCCAAATTACTTGACTTCATGTTCTCTGCTAATTCATGCATATTACTACTTCCTAGATGTCCATCCCCATACATCAAGGGAATACTTTGCCTCAGAATTCCATTTCTGGATCAAGAGGTTAAGGTCCTGCACCCCTCATGAGAGAGTCGTGCTTGAGATTTTCTTAAATTTTTTGAGTGATTATGCTTGTTCTTGGTCTAGGATGAATGTAAGTACAATACTGTAATCAAACTATAGAATGTTCACTTAATTATAATAAACTAAAATTTTTGAAAATGCATAAAAAAAACAAAAAAACAATACACTGTACAAGATAATCTTTACACACAACACTTAGGCTTTGTTGACACAGAGTTCAGTTGCTGAGGCACAGTCTATAGTATCACAGCACATCGAGGTGTATACAGTAGTTTGAAAAACTTCCAAGATGATAATTAGACAATTTGTATCAAGTTATCACAAATAGTTAAACCATATACTATGAGGTAAACATGTGCAAACAGGGAAAAAAATTACAGGAAATTATTAGTTTCACATCCAGTTGTTCACACCATAATATCAATAAATGGGACAGTGTATGGGAACATTACTTTGTGAAGTTATTTATTGCTTCTAAAGAATAACATGTAGTGGAATGTGTATGAATTTTTAATCAAAATTCAATGACCATATCATTTTACCTAAAGAAAGTAATTTCCTTCCTCCATAAAGTGTCAACATACTGTGCAGAATATTAGCAGTCGAAGAACACTTCTCCCACCTTTTTAATTTTACTTCCTACTTCATCTATATCCCCATAACTTTTTTTAATTAGCATCCATCAATTCCTTCATATAGGCCTATTCCCATTACCCCGACATTCACTGCCTTTAATATTATTGAAATGCCACAAAAATCCCCAAACTCTACCTCATTTAAGCTGATATTTACAATTCTCACATTTTCTAAACTAACCTTATTGATTCGGTCTAGAGGTATTGGTCTTTCTCTAAACATGCCTGTCGTAAGCATGTGTCTGGTTCCAAATTCTTCGTTAATATGTTGATGTTCAAGTCTGCTGCAGCCCCGTGACCTTGTTAAGACGTAGTCAGCAAAGTTGCGACTTAATGGTTGGTATTTCTGAAGAGATAAAAGACATTTGATAAGAAAAATATTCAACATTTCTCTAAATTCCTTATTTCTTTCTCAATGCTCACAATAAAATTTATAGGTAACACCATTGAACACATATTTATGGAGTAAGAAAATTTTTTACGCACAACAATGTCTATCTTAAAATCTTAGTAATGGATCATTAAGTTAAAGCATTTAGATTGTTTTTAATTAGCCTTAGAAAATTATTTTAAATTAAAAATAATCTTCAACTGAAACACTGGCAAAAAAAGAGGCCTTTTATTTTGCTCCAGAAAAAAGAGAATAATTTTGTCTGGAACAACTGCAATGACTAGCTAGTAAGCATTCATACATATTCAATACAGTAGAACGTTGATATAACACGAGATACGTTCCAAGAGACGTCACTTTAAACAAATTTGCACTAAATCGAAGTGTTGTTTCAATGGAATAATTTAGTTTGGTACTTGAGAGAAACAAAAAATACTAAAAAGACTGAGAGTCTATCCAGATGCACCTCAGCCCATCTCCTAGAATAAACAAAACATTGTTTTTTGTAGTATTATGTTAAAACAAACACTCATAAATCAACACAGCTAAAATTATGGGATGTGAAATGGTTTGTTTACTGGCGATAAGCTGATGGGGGGGGGGAAGAGTTGAGGTGATATGTTTGACAGTTGATGCCAAGGTCTAGTGCTTATTTATTTACCTGTCCTTAAGAATGACTTTAAGTACTTATCTTTAAAAAATGTCACCGAACTGACATGTTCTAATTAATTTTATTACAAAGGGCTAAATTTTTTATTTCCTGTGCAAAATATTTGACATTTATATTCAAAATATTCACTGTCTTGCAAGAATTTTAGCAATGCAAATTATATTCTCCTAGCTTTAGTCTGTGAGATTATATAAGATAAAAACTGTAAGTCTATAACCACCCAACCCTGGCTGGGTGGGGGGGGGGTTAGTGACAGTGACACGTTTGACAGTTAGGGCTGAAGGTCTAGTGAAGTATGTATTTGTTTATTTGTCCTTTAGATTGAGTTTTGGTTTTTTGTTTATAAAATGTCACAGAAGTGACTGGGGAAAATATAATTTACATTGCTGGAATTCTTTTAAGACAGTGATTAATTTGAATATAAACATGCTATAGTTTGCACAAGACAACAATTTTAGTAATCATTTAGTACATTATTTTGAGTATATGTACAGTACAGCTTTGCCCTTAGGACAGTGTAGCATGCCCAGAGAAACATTAGGCGCAAATTTTAAAATATGATGGCCATATTGACTCATTTAACGCTTTAAATTAAAACATTGTCCTTAATTGTGGGTGTTGCTTTAAATCAATAATCTTAAATTAAATCGACATTCTACTGTATAGTGATAACCCTGTTACCAGGAACAATTGGTGCAGAGCACTTCTGGGAATGAGAGATTTCCGGGTAACGAAACGACTCTCTCGAACCCAGAAAAATATCCTTCATCCCAGAATTTTCTGGATAACAAAAAAATTTTCTCGGAATTTTCAGAAAATGCTCCTGATTTTCATCTCTCAAACCTGGAAAAAACGCCCCCATCCCTTTAATTTTTTTTAATGTTCCGGAAAATGTGCTCCTTGGAAAATCATTCCCAAAGCCGGAATTTTCCAGAAAATTCCGGCTTTGGGAAAGATTTTCCGAGAAAATTTCATTTCCGGCTATCAAAGAGTTCCGGGTATGAGGGATTCCGGCTAAGGGAGATATTACTGTATAACGGTAAGATATTCAGAGGGCTGATAGTCTTTAAACTTGTTAAGAAAGAGGAGGCAATCCCTGTGTATCACAGGGTCATAACCTCACTAACCCATAAATGCCCAAATTTGTTTACTGGGATTAATAGAATTAAGAAAAATTAACATATGATCAAACAATATCACAATGAGTGAATTACACTTTCTTCCACGTCTTTCCTGTCTTTGTAGGTGTAAATAAATTTAGGCAACAGTATGCTTAGGGTGTACAGTACCTGCATAAAAGATTGTTTACGTCGTACAGTATGATGCGAGTGTGAAGGGTGGTGAGGCACCCCACCCAGAGCAATATAACCGCCTCCATCACGGGAATTCTCTTCCTCTTCTCCATCATTTTCATCTTCATCTTCGTCCTCATCACTATACAGCATGAACTCATCAATCTAGAAAAATTTAGGAAAATAGATGAAATCTGGAGTAAAACTCAGTAAATATACTAATGAGATCACTAGATATTTCTGAATGAAACCAAATGGATGCCATAGAAGAGAGGGAAAGGTATGAATAGTGTAGTGCAAAAAGTTCACAAGTAAAAGATGTACACTATGAAGTATTCCCAGGAATTGCTATATTGTATGTCTGATAAAAAAAGAAACCTTAATACATACTGTAGTCAGGTATAGTAAATAAACGTTTAACACTAAGCATATGGCTATGTGCGTTAAAATTATCTAAAGTAGTCTCAAGTTACTTAGTGATAAAAGTATTTTTATTTAGCGGCTACCTATAATACTGTACTGTACTACCATTTCCCTATATATTGCAAGAATTTTTTTTCTATTTTGTGAAAAACGCCAGGCTGGAAGTGTCTTACATCAACCGTCGTGCTGATACAATTACCCAACTGCAATCACAGTGTCATTCAGACAGTTCTCACTCAAAGTAAGTCAATTTCCCTCAACATTACCACATGCACCACTTCCCAAGATTTCTTGATGCTCAGTAGATACTTCTCCTTCCACTTCAATTGAGCAAAAGAATTATAAGATGATTAATTTAGAAAAGAAAATTTAAATTTTGAATGAACATGACCATGAAATGTGTCAGTTGTTGAACGCTGAAACGGACAATTGAAACCACAATTCACATGATAAGACTGAAGACTGAGAAAATTCATGCATTACAGCTACTCCTCGACTTACGACCACCCGGACATACGACCGCCGCAGTTGTATAAAATATTTTTCAAATTACGTATTTTCGAATCCCGACGTTAGTGATTGCGCTGTGTACTGACAAAATTTTCGTTTGTAATTCCCTTTAAAATGGCTGGCAAGCATAAAAGTGAGAGTTCTCGTGGTGCTGAGAAGAAAAAGAGACACCCATTTTAGATTTCTATGTATTATTTTCGCATTTTCGACTTACGACCTGGTCGTCGGTCCCTAACCCCGTCGTAAGTCGAGGACTGACTGTATATGTGCAGCCATCCATATCCTATCCAAGACCATCCAGCATATAAGACTGCCACTGTATTAAGTGATGGAGGATGTTTTGAGATTTGGATAGTGCCCATGCAACAGTGTACAGTAACTGATCTCATGATTCAGACTGAGGCAATGGAAATTGAAGTGCTTGGTAGCTCAAGAGAGATGGCAAACCATCTACTGTATTAACAGCAAATTCCCAACCAGCCAAAGCGGTCTTCGCAGCTTCATTAAATATGCTGAGCTACGCTGCATGACTCTCACTTGGGAGGCTGCAGCAGATAAAGTGAAGGGAAAATTGGTGAAATGAAGGGGGTGGTACAAGAATTTCCAAATACACAAATGATACTTGGTTTATATTTATTTGGGTGTGCTTGAAAATCTTTATTTTGTTTTTTATAGGTGCATTGACATAGGTAGTAGACTTACGGCATTAGGAAGCGAGTAGGTTGCATGCCAAATCAGTAATACTGGATGATGGTTGTGCAACTTTGAGAATTATTTTTATAATAGATAAAAGTTTTCTTGCTTTATGAGAAGACCCCCAAGCAAGGGGAAGGACGAAGTTTTTCAAAATATTTTTTACAATTAATTCTGCCTCAAACATGTTCACGGCCACTATGACAATAGTTCTAATGTTTACATCTTGGGCAAATTTTATTTCATCTCCGGAAAAAATCGGAAAAATTATATTATGAAAAAATTACCCCTCCCCATTTTGGGGTTTTTCTTGAGGTAAAAATGCATTTACATTATCTTCTGTGGAAATATGTCCTCACATTGCTGGTGAACGTGCACAACTGTCATCAACTACACATTTACAGCCAAATCTGTGGGATGCTGGGTCAGTTGGTGGCAGCATGGCAGTGACGTACTGTGCTATTTTCATTTATATTTTACACAATTTTCTTTGTTTTTCCATGGTGAACCAGAACACTGCACATTTCTTGCTTGTGTTTAGTAATTATATACAGTTAACCTTTTAAATATTGTTAACTGATTTTTTTGAACCTCTGGTCCCAAACCTCATATTTTGTATTGATTTACATGTACAGTATTTCGATACAGATTTTTTACTTAGCAAATGTTATCAGTCTCTACCTCGTGAAATAATCCAAGGCTACTGTACAGTACTACCTTTACTCCTCTCCCCCTTGTGTGTGAGGTGGCCAGAGAAGTTCAGCAACCACAAATTGGGGAAATAATAACTGAAAAAGGTTCAAGTAATGAAAATTTTCAGGAAAGTTCAATACTTTCCTGGAACCTGAATCTGGAGTCAATACAGTAAGTAAATATGTAATACAGTATACTCCTGTACTTCCATGCAGAAAGAACAGAAATGGTAGTAGAGTTTAAGTTTTGTGTAATATAGTATTGATGTTAACTTCTGGATTGAGTAACCTATTAAACAAAGGAAAATGGATCACAAAATGTAATAAAAATTCATCACAAAACAATAAAAGCAGAAATTTTAGTTTGTACAAGTCCAAAATACAGTACGTACTGGGGAGGGGGAAGAATTTTGTTTTTTAACTTAAGGGAATTATGGGTTTGTAACTTGTATATACAGTACATATACAGTATTATAATAAAGGATTTCATATTCAGTTAAATTTTTTATTTGTCAATATATGTAAGGAATACATCCAGTTATATCCCAAATAAAACCTTTTTCATTTCAGTGCAGTGTTTCTACAAATCAGGAGCAGGTAAAGGGGTTGTGACATTGTGAATTCTTCCTATCGAACTTCATTTACTGTAGGAATTTCATATAAACAATTTAATTAATAGAAAATTGGATAACAAAACAAATAATAACCTTATGCTCTGGTTCACCATGTATGAGAGCCACTCGATGGTAACCAATGCTAGATGGTCGGGTCCGCAATTTCTTTCTTGGAACAAATTTTGCTGGCATACTGCCCACTGTCCGCACGGTGTGTGTTGTAGCCATTGTCACCACTGGTCTCTGTGAAATATGAAAAGCATGCACTGTACAATAGTCATTGAAATAAAAAACCTATGCTTACCTATATGCAGCAATGCACTGCTATTCTATACATTATCTGCTTTGAACAAGCTAAAGTAATACTGTACTGTAGTACAGTATGCACTGTATTTTTTAATTACATTTCAGGGGCGGATAGGCAAGGGATCAGGACCCCCTTATCATAAAATTCCAATATTTTTTCTTTAATGCAGTATTGTCCTCAGGCGTTTTTGTATAGTAAAAGGTAATTACATACTATTGACCTCAGAATATCTCTTAATATCAAGTGCGCATGGCTTCAAAATAGCGTCAAAATGGGTTTGCTGTGCACGCCATATATATAATGCAAGTAAGTCACTGTAGGTGCGCGTGATCCAAGTATATGCTGATAATCAAAAGGAAACAAGAAAACACGAAGTTCCCAAGCGCATTCCTGTAATTCACATCTTCAGGGGTGAGTACAAACTAAAGAGAAATACATGACAAGGCTAATATATACAGTAGAGGAGAGTGAGATCAAATCCCTAGGGGACAGCAGGTGTCCACAATGTTCCAGTCATAAGGCAGTGACCCTTACTAATCTTCATAATAATAAAAAAAAATGACCATGTCATCTCTAAGCACAGCAGCTGACTGTAGTCAGGTCATAGGGTAAGATGACCCAACCTTCTCACCTGGTTACAAATCTTCTTAATCACAAAATTATCCAGTTTATACATACCATTACTCAAATTCATGTTGACAGATTCGGTATGTTTAATGAGACTGGATTCTATAATGTTCCTACTGACAATTGAATTACAAGGTAATATTGAGGAGGCATTATCCCAGTCAATGCAATACTTATAATCTCTCATATGCATGAACAGAGCATTGGATTCCTGGCCTGTCCTAACACTATATTTATGCTGTTAGTCTAGTTATAAGATCTTTACCCGTCTGGCCTAAGTAGAACAAATTACATTCCTTGCAAGGAACCTTGTAAATGCAGCTGCCTGCATTGTTGGGGGAGTTCTTAAATAACATTGTTTTACAGTGCATGAGTTTTCAGATGCCACATTAATGTTCCAGGTTTTCAGTTGTATAGGAATTTGAGAGAAATTTTTGTTAAATGGTAATACAGTACTAAGAGATTCTTATTGTCATGGGTGGGCTTAGGATCAGTTCTACAAAAAGAATTTTTAGTAATGTTGAAGCATTTGTCTATAAAAGACCTAGGGTACTTAAGGTTCAAGCCAATATTATAGCTATATTTATATTCCTCGTCAATGAATTCCGGACTGCATGAAAATATTGACTGTTTGACTTTTATGGTGGGCAAAATAATAGTGAATATATGAACACACATTAGTAGGTTTCCTATAAATACTGAACTTAAAGGTGTTACCTATTCTGTGGATCAGACAGTCTAGCCTTGTCAAGTATTTCTCCTTAGTCTGTACTGAAGATGTGAATTACACGAAAGTGCTTGGGAACTTCGTGTTTTCTTGTTTCCTTGTGGCTATCAGCACACGCACACACACACACACATATATACATACATATATATATATATATATATATATATATATATATATATATATATATATATATATATATATATATATATATATATATATATATATATATATATATATATATATATATATATATATATAATAAACAACTCCTGATTTATGTACTGTACAGCCCTGTAAATGTATTCAACGCATATTATATCATTATGTCTAAATCAAATGTAAGTCTGTATATTTTCAGCCACCTTAAAGATTAAGTATAAACAAGCTAGTTACCTGCCAGTAGTTCCTCTGCATAAGTATAAAGTTGTGGAACAGTTGTGTGCCAAGCAGTAACTCTTGTTTGTCCTCTGTTAGGAGACAGAGGGTTAGGTTATAGTAGTCCCCAATAACACCGAAGGTGGTTGATGCATGAAGACATTACGGTACAGTTGAAACTCTTTTATCCAACAACCTTTGGACCTGAGCAGAATCAGATAATCAAAATTTTTGTTTCAAGAGAGTTTATAAATACTGCACTGTAGTGTAGTGAAGCGTAGTGTAAGCCATAAGGTAAAAATTACTTACAGTGCCCACTAATAGTTTATTTTTGCACACATTACCTATGTCATTTGTTGCTCTCTCTAATAGAATTATATAATACAGTACAATACTATGATTTTCAAATGAATTTGATAAGTGTTATGGAGTGCCATCACTGATGGATATGAGGTGCAGCTTACAGCACTGAGTGTGAGCTCTTTCAAGACCAGACTTGGCTAACACTGGCACTGTTACAGTTACAGATACATTCTGGAGCTAGTACATGCCCAGTACAGTACTTGCCAATAGTGCATAATAAAGATGCGACTGACCACCCAAGCAGCTAACAGGCTGATCAGTGATAAAGGGGATAAAGTAAATAGCATATTCTTTTAAAATTCAGTCTTCGCTTTAAGATATTTTTTTATATATACAGTAGTACAGTATTCCCTTATTGTTACAATACATACTGTAGTACTTTATTATATTATATATTTATTACAATTGCAGTATACTAAAATATGTCAGTAAGTTTTTGTAATACAATACACTACAGCATATAAATTTTTTAGAAGGGCCAATTTTCTGATGCAACTAGAGCACTCATGTGACACAATCATAACTGGAGGGAAAAAAAGAAGTGCAAAATTTTTATGCATTACATTATTTCCTAAAAGTGTCTGGATAATTGGGGTTCGAGACATTCAACCTGTATACTCTACTGCCCAACTGTTTAAATCTTATTTTTTTACAGGTGGTAATCAAGCTAGGAGTTTATAGTGCAGAGGGGAGAAGAAAAAGATGACAAGGTGAAGTATCATCACAATTGAACATGAATACCGGTAGTGATCAGCATCATTACCAATGTTAGTTTAGATGATACAGTACTGTAGAGGTAATGTAATTTTGTTATTCACATCTTTGTTTGCCCCCTCCCCAACTAAGCTAGCAGGTCTTATAATAAGGGTGTTCACTACATAGATGGTCTGTCCCTCATAATGCTCTTCAAAAGGGTGGTGCTTCTCCATTTGGAAAATTTTCACACTGTCTGGCCCCCTGAGATATGCTTCAGACTGTCAGTTAATTGAAAATATCTAAAAGTGGGCCACAAGAATGGGGCCTACACTTCTGCGCCTTAGGCAGCCAGAGAGATTAGAATGCCTGCAGTTGCTGAGCTCAAATTATAGATGGGCAAGGGCCAACAACTCTAGAGAAGTCTATAAGCACCTCAGAGGACATTATACAGTTGAGTGGATGCCTGATCCACTAGACGTCACATCCTCAGGTTGAAGAAGCCACACATTCAGAGTGTGAGCTCATTCAAGACCAGGCTTAACCAACACTGGTGCAGGTTCAGATACATTCTGGAGCATAGTACAGTACTTGCCATTAGTGTTTAACAGTGACATGATCAACCCTCCAAGCGGCTAACAGGTCGATCAATGGTGAAGAAGATATAGTAAAATAAAAGTGATTTTCCCTATGCACATTTTGTCCTTTACACGAGGCAAGAAACCATCTATCTACTATGATAAAATGTTCCAAAGTTGGTACCATAATACAGGAGTGCAGGAGACTGTAATAATTACTATTTTTTTACAATACAGTACAGAGGGTCCACGACTTATGAGCATTTGACTTACGAACATTCGCTGATACAAATGAGGTCCCATAAGGTCAATTATTTTAAGAATTTGACACAGGTACAACTGGTTCGTAGTACGGTATTAACGCATGAGATCTAGTTTGCGTGGCGTAGCGGCGAGGCAGAGCGGCGCATGGGGAGTAAAGCGTTATCTAGCCACGCGCCTTTAGGGAGCGTCAGTACACTTTACCCTCACCCATAAACATGTGTGATTTAGTGCAAACTGATGTTTTTTGCTTATTAACTCTTGTTTTGTCTTCGCCATGGCTCCCAAACTCAAACGTGATGCAAGTGAAAGTAGTGCATTCAAGAAAAGGAAAACAATTATAATGGAAGTGAAAGTTGATGCAATTAAACATTCTGAAAAAAGGTGAAACACCCTCACAGTCATTGGTAAAGCATTAGGCTTCAGTCTGTCAATGGTTGGAACAATTTTGAAAGACAAACAGAAAATTCTTGAATATGTAAAAGGGTCTACACCAATGCACTCAACTGTGACAACAAAACAAAAAAGTGGATTGTTAATTGAAATGGAAAGATTGTTAGTGATATGGGTGGAAGATCAAAATCAACGGGATTTGCCTCTAAGTCTAGCCATGATTCAGAAAAAAGTGAGAAGCTTGCGCACTGACTTGAAGGCTAAACGTGGTGTAGGATACAGCACCCGAATGCATTTATACATATTGTTCACATTTTCCACAGTTGTTCTTTGTATATTAACTAATTTTATAAAATCGATACAACTATTTTAATTAAATTTTTATTTTTTTTTTCCCCATTTCTCTCTCTAATACTATGAATGACCTGTAGTGAGCAAGGCATAAAAGATGAGGGAAATTACAGGGTAAAAATATGGTGAAAACAGATCATATGACACTTAAATGAAGTCTCTACGTGTTTTTTATGCAAAGAAATTAAATTTTACCATAAATATTATGCCGAAAATTCTGGCCTGCAAGCACTTGTTGACATTTGATCATAATCAAATTGATTTTCAATGGCGTCCTAATCATGTCGCATTCAGTATCGTTTCACAAGTTATATGTGCTTGTGGAGGATGAAGACCATCTCCAAGAATTCATCTGTCAACATGGACTAGTTGGCAAGACATGCAAGTGTCCAAAATGTGGCAGAGAACTGACAGTGAAGAAGTAATATGTGTTTCAGAGCCATAACCGATCATACTCTAACGTCCACGAAAAATGTAAAATCACACTCTGCTGCATCAGATAGTTGTTTGCATTGGTACCAAGTATCAGAGAAAGTTCTTTCTGCCTAATATGCCCCCCACATTTTGGTAAGTTAAGCAGGTTTCTTTGGTTAGGTCAGGTTCTGTGCATTCGCGTTTCCATTTTTGTGTTCAGTAGCATGGAAATATTTTCACCAGAAATTTTAGTTAATTTTCATAAATTATTTGGTGTTACTATAGCTTTCAGTGACTAGATGCCATAGTAGCACCAATTATTTCTGGTGATAACGGTCTCCTACACCTTTACCAAATCCTGTATGAAATAAACCATCAAACTCTCCAGGACACAAACAAAGGCACGATGGTGTTGGAGCTTGGATCTTCCAGCTGTAGACGAGTGTTTAGCTTGAAAAAAATCCATAAATAAGAGAAAACACGTTTTCTCATTCGTTGTTGTCCTTCTCATGAGGTGAGAAAACATTTATCCTGTTTAGAGAAATATCCTCGAGTTGCTGGTTCAGGCGGTTCAGGTGCACAACCATTGTAATTGTCGGCAAGTATTACTGGTCATAGAATATATTTCATTTAAATTAGGTAGGTTGGTTTATCATAGAATATATTTCAATTATGTTAGGCAGGTTGGTTTTCCAATATTAAAGAAATGCAGGATACCACAGTCAATGTGACAGAAAAAGGCTGCGATAATTGCCTCGCCAATTATTATCGTCTCTTTATTAATGTAGCATTATAAGCATGTATTTTACTGCGCATAATTTTGCTTTACGGTGAAGACCAGAGTGTATTTTTCTAAAGGTAAAAATACTAAACTTTATCAAAGTGCTATGGTGCCAGTTTAAGTTAAAAAATATAGGTTACATTAATGCTTAAAACTTACTTTAATTAAACTAGTGTTACACGATGCTTTTATTTCATTATACAATTCACTAATAACAAAACAAAAAACGCAAATAATTACTCGTTAATATTCCCGACAATTTGACTTCCTTCTGCTATCTGAATCTCACCTTGGACTACTTTGCATGAAATGACAAAAGAAGCTACAAATTCTGGCCAAATGTGGGTATCTAATGGCTAAAAAGAAAAAAAGTCTTAAAGTGCATACCTAAAAAACGACGATCACTATTAAAAAAGAGTGGTATCTCTGTAGTATGAGGAAGTTCTGTGGTGATTGTGTGGCTCGACCCAATGTACACTTTCAATATCAACAATAACGCAGAATATAAACACACCACCAGCGCCCTCTGTCGCCGCCCTCGCCAACTGATGCACCAAAGATCAAACCCGTCAATGGTCCTTGATAATTTAACTCCAACTTCTTGTTTGGGTTTAAAGTTTCTTTATTTAGGATGTCCATTAACTCCGTGAAGTGCGCAGTAAGTTTATCGAGAATAGGAAAGCTGTCACTCAAACTAAGATCTATTTTGATTTAGCTGTGAACGGCTCTTGCAAATTCGACTTGTTCTACCAGTTTCTGGACTAATTTATTTTATGGTTTACTTATATAATGTGAGCATATTCTTGGAAAACACAGTACACGAACATGCAATGCTTATGAATCCGTACATCTGGCGTGAGGCAAGCATGCAGTCATGCAAGCTTTTTACATTTACTCTGATAATGTTCATGGTGGAAAACAAGTTTTTTTTTAATTCTTTGTCAAGTTTTCTTATAATTAATGAAAACATGGTAACTGTTACGTAATATTTGTGAAAGTTACATATCGATTGTATCAGTGAAATCTTAAATCATGGTTAATTAAACAGGGAATAAAATAGAGCGCTGGAATGTAGCAGGGTGAGCTGTAGCCAGCAGGGGTACACCGAGTGCGATCACACCGGTCATGTCACTCATCATTCTGCTCAGTTTTTTTTTTTACTTTTATCCTCTTCGAAACTGTTCGGCTCGTTAGCCGCTTGGGCGATCGGTCACGTCTCTGATTACTTTTCCTTTTCTTTTATCCTCTTCACCAAAAGATCGGCTCGTTAGCGGCTTGGGCGATCGGTCACGTCTCTGTTACGCACTGTTGGCAAGTACTGGACATGCACCGGCTCCTGAATGTACCTGAACCTACTCCAGTGTTGGTCAAGCCTTGTCTTGAAAGAGCCCACACTCGGTGCCGTCACAACACTTTCTGGTAGGTTGTTCCAAGAGTTCACAATTCTCACTCCGAAAAAGTTTGCCCTCACAGTTTTCTGGACTTGCGGCTTCTTCAATCTTGAGCTGTGACCCCTTGTGGGACGAGCGTGGACACTCGACTGAGTAATGCCCCTTGAGATGCTTATACACCTCTATTAGGTCACCCCTTGCCCGTCTGTAGTACTGTATAAGCTAGGCAAGTTCAGGCGCTCCAATCTCTCAGGGTAGCTGAGGTGCCGAAGGGCAGGCACCAGTCTGGTGGCCCTCCTTTGAACATTTTCAACCAACTGACAGTCCCTAGCATATCTCGGGGACCAGGCGGGGTGACAGTACTCCAGATGGGGAAACACTTCACTCTTGAAGATCGTTACGAGGGACGGACCATATAGATATCTGAACGTCCTTCTTATAAGACCCAATAATTTATTTGCTTGATTTACCTTCTTCTCGCAATGGCCCGAGAGCTTCAGCTCATTGTCAACGTACACACCTAGGTCCTTCTGACATTCAGTCTCAAATAGTGCAGTTTCTTCATCCAGTTGGGACATATGATACGCCTCCTTACCGTTGATACGCCCCAGGTGCATCCTCTTACACTTCGTGACATTGAATCTCAGCAGCCATTTCTTCGACCATTCTTGGAGACCACAGAGGTCCTTCTGCAGCTCTTCACAGTCTGCTTGGTTCTTGATTTCCAAAAATAATTTGGCGTCATCGGCAAACATTGTATGGAGGAGTGTACAACGTCAGGCATGTCATTTATGAAACAAACAAACAACAGCGGGCCCAATACACTGCCCTGTGGTACCCCACTTGTGACAGGTACAGATGATGATTTCGTGCCATTAATCACCACACATTGCTTGCAGTCACGTAGAAAGTCTTCTATCCACGCTTGGACATTTCCCCGAATTCCGTACCCTTCCAGTTTGATTTTTAGCCTTTCGTGGGGTACACTGTCGAAAGCCTTGGCAAAATCTAAGTAAATATTGTTGATATTACCACCCCGTTCCAGAATATGGGTCCAAATATCCAATACCTTGAGCAACTTTGTTAAGCAGGAGCGCCCCGGCATAAAACCGTGTTGGCAATCCTTTACAAGGTTGCTTCGTAGTAGATGTTCCATCGCGGCATCTCTGATAATACTCTCAAGTACTTTACATATTATGCTGTCAGGCTCACCGGTCTATAGTTGTTCGTGGAGTGACGATCGCCCTCCTTGAAGATAGGACTCACATAAGCCACTTTCCATTCACTAGGGACCTTTCGTTCATCCAGGCATTTACAAAACATGATCTTCAGGGGCTCGGCAAGCTCGTTGCTCAACTCTCTTAGCACTCTGGGGTGCACCATGTCAGGGCTGGGACTCTTATGGACCATTAGCTGTGACAGTTTATTTCTAATACCCTCTTCTGTGAACACAATGTGGGTCAGTGCTGTGTCGAACCGTCTGTCCCCAAACGCAGGAAGGTTAATCGCATCCTCTCTTGTGAACACCAAGGAAAAGAAGCTGTTCAATGCCTCAGCTTTATCCTGGTCAGAATCTGCTTAACTACCATCTGTTCACCCACTTTCAAGGGAGTAAACTGTCGGTAGACTCAACATGTTTGAAATGAATAAAGGAAAAAAAAAAGACAAGTCTACATTTAGCCAGATTATCGTTGAGGGAAAAATCACTTATATTTGTTACCTTATATATGTGAAGACAGCCCACTATCAATTATTGAGAGTCAGGCAGTTACTGTGTTATTATTGAAACGTCAACACATTTGATATGCTTCTTAAAACATCGGTCTCTACTAGCTTCTTGGCGAACAAAATTAGCTGTGTGACTTGAACACATGCACAATATATGTACAGGTATATTGTATTCTTGAACATATGCACAATCTGTGTATATTGTATACTTGCACTGTCTATGCACAGTACATTGTGTTTTGACAATACACGGTACAATACAGCATTGTGTACAGTATACCTGCACTGTCTAAAAACAAATATTATATATATATATATATATATATATATATATATATATATATATATATATATATATATATATATATATATATATATATATTAAATCACAAGGAAAGAAAACACGAAGTTCTTCTTTCCTTGTGGTTATGCATATACCTGGATCACGCGCAACTAGTGATTTACTTGCATATATATATATATATATATATATATATATATATATATATATATATATATATATATATATATATATATATATATATATATATATATATATATATATATATATATATATATATATATATATATATATATATATATATATATATATATATATATATATTTATAAACCTGCACTGTGTGTACATTGTATAATTGCCTTGTTTATGTGCCTAAATTAGTTTCATAGCTCACTTTAATGTACTGTTGCCGACTCGTCTTCCGACAATAGCACGGAGTCAACACACACAGAGGGTTCATTCGAGGGTTCGTAGTGTCGCAGCTCTTGAAATCTGTATGCGTCTGTCTGTGTTGTCATACCAGCCAGGGACAATTGTCCTCGGCCAGAAGGATCTCCACTGCTGCTGCGCTTAAAGTCAGTTATAAATTTAAGTTTTTACAGAATGAACTGAAGCGAATTATGGAATTATTAATTTATGCGATTGATCAGAATATATTCGGTATGAGGTGAGCTCAGTATGGCCGAATGTTGAAAATTTTCGTGTTTGTGTAAATTAGTAGGAGCACTGGGGCTGGGGGAGCCTTCAAACCGGTACACATTGAAATTTATTAAATATATTATAAAAATGACACGCATGAATTATAGATACAAAATAATCGTGACATTATTAAAGTATTCCTGTTGTTAGAGAGTTATCACAAACTGTAAAGTGTAATTTACTTTTTTATAGTTTTGACACTTATCAGCTTACTAGCCTTTCGGGCGGTTGGTCTATCCATTGTTAGTAAAGGTGGAAACCGGGCATCGGGAAACCTGTGATTTTTGATAGAGTCACAATGGGTGAACACTTAAGAATTACGTCTCCAGTCAAAATCAGATCCAGTTAAAAACCAACAAATTACACCGAGTTCCATTCACTGGCAAGTATTGAATATAAGTTCTTTTAACGTTTACCATTTATGTATTATATATACTGAGAATGAGTAATCGTGGTATACTTTACTCGAACTTTAAAAAAAAAGGTCAATTCAATTTCAATTTCAATTGTTTATTCCTTGATAGAGGAAGCGGGATCCTAGTGCTGTCACTAGGTACCCCTGTACAATAACACCAGAAGCATCTGGCAAGTGTGACAAGTATATACAGTATAAATATTATAAATGGGCTTACTAAACCCTGAGGAAGGAAGGATATTCCTTTAACACATAATCAATGTTATTTACGTAATATCTGGCCAGTATGGGGAGGATCATCGTGTCTCCGTCAGGGGGTTGTGGAGTGGTGGTCCAGCAGGCGTCACGGAAGCGTTGTGTGTGGGGACATCTTAGGAGGTAGTGGATAAGGGTGCGGCTGTCGGGTCTTCTGCATAATGCACAAGAGCGTTGCTCAGGGGATGCTGGGATACCAATCTCCCAAGCAAAGTCATACCCAATGATGATACGGGCAGCAATCACGTCCCCTTTCCGCGACCCTTTCCCGTAGACATACGAGAGGTCAGGAAGTTTACGGAGGACATCGTACCAGGTGGGCGGGGAGTCCAGGGGGATGGCTGCTTCCCGAGCTTCTCTCTGTTTGCGGCGAATTTGGGTCCTAAGCTGTAAAAGTGTTCGAGGAACAACGTAGTCAGGTGTGGCCTTGTTGCAGCCAGTCTTGGCAAGGCCATCTGCTGCCTCATTCCCCAAGATACCGACATGACTGGGTATCCATAGGAATGTCACAGGACGGCCTGCATCCTGAAGTGTGGATGTTAACCCTCGTATTCGGAGGATGAGGTCCTTATTTTCCCCTGATCCAAATGCGATCTCGTCGAGAGCAGACCTGGAATCGCAGCAGACAAGCAAGGGGCAGAGACCATCTGCTTCTTCCTCAGCGAGAAGGGCAGCAAGGAGGGCTATTAGTTCAGCCTGAGTGGAGGATGCCCCGTCAGAAACTCTGAGAGATAGTTTGATAGGCTCAGGGGCATCAGGACGGGAGATGTAGACACCAGCCCCGGCCCGACCTGTAGCGGGGTCAACAGAACCATCAGTGTAAAGGACGACCCTACCTGGGAACCAGTGGGCGATCCTGGAGAGGTGGTATTTGCAGAGAATAACAGAGTTCACGTGGGATTTCGGGAGCGGTCCTCCGAGGGAAAAAAAAAATCATTGACACAAGACAACGCGGGTTCACCAGACTGGTTACGAGCCGCTCTTACAATGTACATCTCTTGTAGTTGGAGATGTAGAATGTATCTGTGTAACATAAGGTAAGCCCAAAAATATTACACTGAAATTGTCTTAGCTGGAAATGCTCACTTAGCATTTGTGACGAGAATTTTATTAAAAAAAATGTTTTGTCGAGTGCTAAGTAATTTATCTAGTTGAAGCTTTACATTGGTGTTGATGTTATTTCTAGACATTATTATTTTATATGTGAAATAATAAAGTTCGATCTACATTTTCAGTTACGAGGAATAATCTTCGTACTAACCTCTGTTAGTCACAGGCCCTTGGCACTGCTCTTGCTATGGATAGGAAGTAGTGAGTCGATGAACGTCATGGATACGAATTTGGTGTCAACGTAAACATTGATCTGAGTTGCCAGTTCTCTTTATTCGTTTTGTAAGTAAACTGAATTATTACCAGTTATAAGAACGCGATAAGAATTTGAAGATCAGTTTAGAGTAAAATTAAGCATAGTGTGTGGGTGTTTACTGACAAAAATGTGTCGACAAGGATCTCGTATACTTAAATAATGCACTATTCATGAGAGCGCCGGAATCACTGTTAACTATTGTTCATTACGTTGGAATTTCAGCATTTATCTTACCATTTAGAATAATATAAGTTCTTATTTGACTACAAAATACATTTCAATACATTTCATAATCATAGAGAATGGAGCATCTGAACTTGCCTAGCTTATACTACAGACGGGCAAGGAGTGACCTAATTGAGGTGTATCAGCATCTCAAGGGGCACTACTCAGTCGAGTGTCCTTACTTGGAGCTGGCGGACGCTCGCCCCACAAGGGGTCACAGCTCAAGATTGAAGAAGTCGCAAGTCCAGAAGATTGTGAGGGTAAACTTTTTCGGAGTGAGAGTTGTGAACTCTTGGAACAACCTACCAGAAAGTGTTGTGACGGCACCGAGTGTGAGCTCTTTCAAGACAAGACTTGACCAACACTGGAGCAGGTTCAGGTACATTCAGGAGCCGGTGCATGTCCAGTACTTGCCAACAGTGCGTAACAGAGACGTGACCGATCGCCCAAGCGGCTAACGGAGCCGATCATTTGGTGAAGAGGATAAAAGAAAAGGAAAAGTAACAGAGACGTGACCGATCGCCCAAGCGGCTAACGAGCCGATCAGTGGTGAAGAGGATAAAAGTAAAGTGACAAATGAAGGAATTAAAGCAAAAAGCTCAATTTTATATTTATTTATATCTTAATATATTAATGTTATTTTTTTTTGTCTTCCAGCTTTTCAGTTTGAAACACAAATTATCAGTTGCGAAGTATTATGCTTGAGAAACGATTCTATTTTGTCCCGTTTGAGTGGACATACAGTAAGGTTTCTTCTATTTGTTCTTACATCCTAATTCCCCAAAAGTTGTTAACGGAACTAGTCCAGTAGTTTCAATCGATGCAAGAGTTATGTTCCGGATTATATTTTAATCTTTACTTAAGGTCAAAGATTAAAACATAGTCCGGAACATAACTCTTGTATCGATTTAAACGTGTTAAAAAGACCCCAAGGGTATGTGTCACTCAAGACAAAATGATTAATAGCAAATTCAAGTCTGGAATGTGATACAAACACTTGATGGAATGTCATGTAAATATGCATCATCGCTAAATAAAGTGCAAAAAGTAAATGGCTTAAAGGTCAATGAATAGATTGTTCAGATGATAACTTTTGTGTCAGTATAGATATTCAGATGAAATTTTACATGAGTGTCATTAATGGGTTAAGTGTAGTACAGTATTGTACACTAAAATAGTTTCTGCGACACGGGTTGAGGTTACAGAAAAGTCATAGGTTAAAATCTTAGCGCGAGGATAACTCTTGTTTCAATTCAGATTTTAATTAAACTTCACCAGATATCAAGGGTTAGTGTCACTGCTGAAGGTCAAAGGTCAAATTTTCGTTTCGATCATAACTTTTATAACCATATAAATATTTTGAAGATATTTCAGAATAATGTTTATAGTCACTAGGTAAGGTGTACAACAACTATGTTTTGATAGACTTCAGCTGTTGAAGGGGAGCTTCTGCGTCAACATATTTTTCTAGTTTTAAGAAGAGACTGTTACATAACACAAAACACTGAGTGACATGGTAACCAATCGCATTTTGTAATACATGCCAGTTTGAGGGTGAATATGTAATACCTAAAGGGTTAGTTTTCTATAGAAATATAATTTATTTTATACTGTTGTAAAATTTAATAAAAGTGTGATTTGTGCGAGTTACCGCGATGGATGATGGACTCAGTTATTAATGGGGAGGTATAAGAAAGCAGAGATTTGTTGAAAAACTAATTAAGATTACCGAGAATATGAGAGTAAAGCTTGTATCAAAAGCGTCGCTTGGGCGAAGTCCTTTGGTGCGTGGGTCCAGGGCCCACTTTCGGACACTTGGTATCTTTTGGCACACTCACCTCCCGTTCCCCAATTACTTTCCCCCCTTCCCCAACTACTCTCCTCCCCTTTCCTAGTTGTTCTTCCCCACCACCCAACCTGAAATCCATGAAATATAACGACCAATGCGGGTATTATGCATTGGTTGGGTAATTCGTTAGTTGAACCTCAAGTATAGGATTGAAAGGGGCAGTGTAGGGTTACTCGCGCCAAAAATTTTGATAATATTTGGTATATACTGTATGTGAGCGTTCCGATTATTGAAACTAATTCAATGTAAGAGTTTAAAAATCTACATACATTAGTTAGTATATAATACTGCATACGTGTATTTCTTAGTAATATTTGCATATAATTTTTGTAATAACATGTGCATGTAACAATAGAAACTTGTATAAAGTTTCTTCATGTCGTGAGGCTCTCGAACATGTGAAGATTATCGTATGCAGCTCTTGGGTTAAGCAAGTCTGGCCACCCCTGTTATAGAGCTAGGCCGAAAACAGTGCTTTCCAACAAAAAACGGGTTTCGCCCGGATGGTCTGAATGCATCTTACGATGCGGGACTCCTCAATACCCTAGAGGCCGAGACCAGTGCTTCTTAACGCTTTTGTCCCGCGTCCCCAACATCCCTATCTCTGATGTTTAAGTGTACTGAATATTAATACAGTTCATTAAATGTGATACTAATGCAAAGAATGAAGCAAAGATATCTTTCACTTACAATTTGATGCAATAATCCATATGCGACCAGCTGTTGTGCACAACAATGCAGAAAATAATCAGATATCATAACCAGGTACTCGTTAATGAAATGGATTGTACGGGCTCCTGTTATTTACATTTAATATAACAATCTAAATAGACACACACCACTTACAGTTCTAATTCTTCAGCCACATATTGCTAGGAGTGCATTCTGTTAAAAAAATAGAAAAGAACTATATTAGTATGGCACAGTACTGTGATTACTACCGCGGCAATAAATAAGTTGTACTCATTCTGTTAACAAAAGTACAAATAAAAATAATAACTTTTCGTATCACTACAGTTGGTGTCACGATAATTTTCTGTCCCGTGACCTTTCATTTCCTGCTGATGAAGTCATTAATTTTTGTAGTCCCCCAGATTTTGGTGGACTGCAATCGCCTTGTTGTTGCCCCGGTTCTTAACTTATCTGAGAGAAAACTACACTTTAGTGCTACTCACTGCAATAAGTAATGGACCCATCTCTCTCGCGCAGCTAGTTTGACATGTTTACACCGTTTCCCGGACAACTTTTTTTCTTTTTTCATTTCGACAAATCGATGGTCTACACACAACTTACCTGCTGACATATGAATATTCACTGAAAAAAATTAAATGTATCGAAATTCCCTTTCACGGACACTTATATATTTTACTAATAGTTTTAATAATAATTTCACGAGTAACAGAAAGAAATATATAAATAATCACTTAAAAAATGCATTTTTCCAGCTCGTCTGCCTCCTCACATCTCGACTTTCCGCGCAGACTATACTGTATCTTTGGTGAGAACACATCCTATACTATACGTACTCTTTGTAACACACTGTGCCAAGTAAACAATACATTTTTGCGGTTAAACACGATAATTTTGTCAAGTTTAGTTATTCACACAAACCTATTTTCTTTAAATACGTATCGAATATATAGACCTTCCGAGTAGTATTTCTGCTTATATGCTTAAACTATTCCCATGCACTGTAATAACATGCCTTGTACTTAGTTCTTAAGTACAATATCTTGTTTATTATTATTTTTATTATAATTTTTTAAGAGTATTTTGATGCCCCAAAATTAAATTACTAGTTAATTCAAAGCAACATTTGAAAACGAAGAGATGATGTGCATTCCACTTATATTTATTTTCTTCCGTTAACTTTGATTTTTTTTAAAACTTGCCAGTTACAGAAACAATTAATTTTCTTCATATTGTTTTTTATTCTTACAGGCTGTCAGTAATAAACCCATCAGAGGTGACAGTGTGGGCGACTGAAACGAGGCACCATGCAGCAGATGCAAATTCGCTGGTCGACTGTGATAGGATGTTTTGGAATCTTGTGTGGTCTTATCTTCATTGTCTCTCTCTTACGTACTGGTGAGTCATGCCCTTCATTGTGTACTTACTATATTGTTTAACTAAGTCTCGCTCAAACAGTTTTTTTCGATCAGCCCACTGAATGATGCTTCGTGTGGAGCCTAATGCATTACTCTAGAGTTTCTAGGGTGAGAGATTTCAGTGGGCGGATTCCTCAATCACCACTTTCGCGCCTCTGACAGGAAGCGTCCAACAAGCTGCTTGTAAACATGCCCACCCATGCTGTGGCCACAAATCGCTGAAACTCCCTTAAAAAATGTCTTGGTAAGAGAAGAAGAAAAGTTGCCATATAATTGTTTGTAGCCACTAAAGGCTAACATTTAAGTCAGAGTAATTTGGGTATACAGTTATGATCACTGTCGATAGTTTATAACAACAATAATCGCTAGACAAACTTAAGATTAGTTGTAGAATGAATAATATTAATTCCAGCACTAAAACATTGCCTTAGTTTGTAACAGCCTGTGGACCACCTGATGCATGACTGTGTCATCTTAGACAATGGCAGGCATGAGTCATAAGAACATAAGATTGGAGGAAACTGCAGCGGGACTATTGGCCCATACTGGGCAGTCCCATTTACACCCAACCCCTATTGCTCATATAAGCATCCAACCTACTGTATGTTTGAAGCTATCCAGCGTATTCGAGTTAATGATGATATTTGGTAACTTGTTCCATTCATCCACTACTCTGTTTCCAAACCAGTGTTTACCTATTTCTCTCCTAAATCTAAATTTGTCTAATTTAAAACCATTGTTACGAGTTCGCTCCTGGTTGGATAGTTTGAGTACCTTTGTAATGTTCCCTTTGTTTAGCCCTGACTTCCATTTATACACCTCTATCATGTCGCCCCTCGCTCTACGTCTCTCGAGGGAGTGCAAATTAAGATGCTTTAACCTGTCTCTGTACTCAAGGTTCCTAATGCCCGGGATTAGTCTTGTCATTCTCCTCTGGATTCTTTCCAAGGATTCTATATCCATTCTGTAATACGGTGACCAGAACTAAACTGCGTAATCCAGGTGAGGTCTCACAAGCGCAAGATATAATCTTAAGATGACCTCGCTAGTCTTGTAACTAACACTCCTTTGTATGAACCCAAGTACTTTATTAGCCTTGTTACAAGCAAAAACACATTGTTTACTTGGCTTAAGAATCCTACTTATCATTACTCCTAAATCTCTCTTGCAGTCGGATTTCTCAATGGCATCGTTGTTCATCTGGTAACTGGTTTCCCTGTTTACATCTCCTATACTGAGTACTTTACATTTGTCCACATTGAACTTCATCTGCCATTTTTCAGACCATTCGAAAAATTTGTTTAGATCTTCCTGTAGTTTTGCGGAGTCCTCATCAGATTTAATTACACGCCCTATTTTAGTGTCATCAGCAAATTTACTTATGTTGCTGTCTATGTCGATATCTATGTCTTTTATGTATATAATAAATAATAATGGTCCAAGTACTGAGCCTTGGGGAACTCCATGTAATGTTGGTGCATTTAAGAGTTATTGTAACCTGTTAGTTTCTGTCTGCTGGCTACTGGTGGTATGTGTGTCGTAAATAAATATGTGATTACCGTAAATACAACTTGTGTTCCGGAATTAATGAGGATAATGAAGCACAAATTTTATAAAAAACGGAGTAAGATGTGTTTACTCCCGGACTTATGCCACCATCAATCGCTGAACACGTGGAAGAGTTATACGTATCGATTATTATTATTTTTTTTTTGTGGAAGTCACTTACATGAATCAGACACTGTTATAAAGCAAGGTAGCATTGATTGCATTGCTATACTTTATCCACTACATACACATATGTGTGCACAGGTAAATGATGTTTGTTTGCCTGGTGTAATAGTGACAATTATGGCAACTATAAATGGTGTTTGTTTTCCTTCAGGTAGCCATGACGCCAGACCAAATCTACCAACTGCAAGGGCTCAAAACTTGAGCAGCCACAGCTTTCTCAAGTCAGTAGTACCATTGTAAGTCATTTCACCTTAATCGATTTTTAGGTTTATGTACTGAATATGAATGGAGCTAATATCATGAGCGTGCGGGTTAATGTCGTTTGTACAGTACGTGTAGGTGTGTGAGCGTCATAGATTGTATTTTATTTTGTAAATACTGTAAGTAGGCTACGCGTTGTGACATTGTGTGGAATGTCACCTTGAAGCGTAGACGTAATATCCTTTGGAGCACATTATATTCCACAATACCCAGTACTAAACTTACAGGCAAAACGAATGTTATTTATGTTTTCTATTTTCTAGCCACATATTTGCATTTTATAAGTCTTTCCAAGAGCCAGTAATTATATTTAAATGTACAGTACCTTTTTTTCCTAAATTTCCCCCAAACAAAGAACTTCTTAGTGTTTCTAGAACCAACGAGATCTAATTTCCGATTTTTTCTTTAGTTCTGAGGATTCAAACTTCCGGTACTTGGATGAGCATAATGTGTACGATGTTTATAATGGAGAGCCTAGCCGTAACCTGACTGTCAGTGAGCGAACCTGGCTGACGAAAGTGAAGGAGGAGACCGCCCGGCACCTCACCTCTTCCGAGGGTTACACCGTCACCCCCGAGGACATAATCAACACTAGGTAAGAGCAGAGGCAGGGCTGGTCAAGGTAGGGTAAGGTGAGACACGGCTGGTCTGGGTAGGGTGAGACAGGGCTGGTCTGGGTAGGGTGAGACAGGGCTGGTCAATGTAGGGTAGGGTGCGACAGGGCGGGTCAGGGTAGGGTAGGGTGAGACAGAGCTGCCCTGGTCAGGGGAGGGTAGGGTAGGGTAGGATTGATCAAGTTAAGGTAGGGTAGGAATGGTCAGGTTAGGGTAGTGCAGAGTAGGGTAGGGTGAGACAGGGTAGGTAGGGTGAGTCACAGTAACCTTCCTCATTCTGGGTAATACTGAAATAATTTTTTGAGAATTACTGACTAACTTGTAAGTAATACTTGGCTTTTTATGAGTGAGACTGACCTATGAATAGTGCAGACTTGTGAATTTTACAGCGTTGTTTTGTGAGCAACAGGGGCCTTGAAAATAGCAGTGGGTAATGATCGTTTATTTTATGAGTAAATATATTACTATGTGAGTAATAATAATTAAGTGTAAGGATAACCTGTCATGTGAGTAACACTGACACCTGAGTTCTGCTTTGTAACATAGATCATTTTGAGTAACACTGTTCTACTTTGTGAATAACTTAGACCACCGTGCGTAATGCTGACCTTCCCTGTTAATAAAAATTATTTTCCTTAGTATCACTGACCATTGTGAGTAATATTGGCTTCCATTGTGAGTGACACTGACCTCTGTGAATGATACTCTCCTCTTTGAGTGACTCTGATCTACTTTGTGACTAATACTCAACCCTTTATTGTACCTTGTGAACTACTCTGAAATCTGCGAGTAACAGTTATTTACCAACAAAATAACATTGACTTTTGTGAGTAAAAATTACCCACCTCGTGAGTAAAACCACTTCCTTCCTGCAGGTACCGGTGGGTGTCGACGGGGTTGGAGTTTGATCTGGTTCTTAATAGGCCTGAGTGGTCAAGGGGTGATCTCCGGGTGACCTTGTTTCAACCTCTTGGTCAACCTCACATTGTACGCTTCCTTGCTTATGACCCCCAGGCGGTAAATAATACTTATAATATCCTGTATTTGTAAACTTAAAATCCATACAGCTCTTGGATATTTAATTCTCTTTATGTGTGTATTTATCCACCCCTCATGTAATTTATGTATCTGTAGATTCATTTATTCATTTTCCAATCCAAGACATGATTCAGAATTTCTGAATTTACGTGCTATTTCCTGCATCTGTATATAACTTGGGCCAAAATTTAACAACTTATTCCCTAATTCCTTGCATACAACTTGCTATATAATTTGAATATGTCCCAGGACTTTATAAACCTTTAGAATCTCTGAGTCTGCTTATTTCTTATTGTCTGTACTGCTGTTTATTTTTTATTGTCTATACTGCACTGTATATATTTGAGTACATTCCCCCTCTGCAGAAAATAAACCTTGTGATGAGTGTGGCTGGTCTGACACCCATCCTGGAGATGTTTATAAACCATCTGGTGGATCAGGTGTTACCTCAGGACTCCAGCATCTCTCTCTCCCTGTACAACCTTCAACCTGTAACCTCTCATATGATCAAGATTCTTCTGGAGACCAAGCTCAAGAACTATCCAGACTTCAAGTGGCAAGTGGTCTCTGTGGAGACAGTGGGCATCCCCATGTTGATACCGTTAGACGGTGCCGCAGAGAAAGACCTGGGCGATGTAGTGTTCCTGGTTAGTAAAGAAGTGTTTCTGCGTGATGAATTTCTGTTGCGGTGCAGAGAGAATGTCGTTCAGGGGGTACAAGTAAGTTGAATTGATAAAATTTGAGGTTTTCTGGTTATGTGCTACTAGGTAGTCAATCTTTTTGCCTGGACATATTTCGGTGGGTCCAGATACTTTAAGACTGGTACAGAACTGGTACAGTACTGTATTATACAATACTTTACATATACGTGAGAGATAAGATAATGCATTTTGTTACAGTAGAATGTCAAAAGCTATTTAACTGCTCCTTTGGGTATCATCGTGTCACTGAGCCCACCCCCCCCCCACACACACACACACACATTTACATAATTTTTTTTTACCTGTGTTTACATTTCGAACAATACTGGCCCTGGGTAGATTAAGAAATGTCCAGGGCAAGTCATCAATGGCTGAAGCATACCAAATTAATTATCTTACAGTTATGCTCATGTTAACAATAGAGTTCAAGAATAATAACTTGTAAATCACTAATAATCATAAAATTTAAGTTCATTTCATTTTAGGTCATATTATTATAAAGTCTTTGACTGAAATATTCATTTAGTATACAGTACTGTATCCATCTTGAATTTCTCTTATTGTTTTCAATATACTGTATAATATAAATTCATCATTGTACAGTACAGTATTTAGATACCTGTCAAGATACATAACCAGAACTTGTTTATACTTATATCACTGTAGTATTTCAGTTTTTGCCACAAACTTTCACAAACCAACAATATCCATTCTCACAATTATGAAATATGCATTTGGTTTTTAACTGATACAGTAATAGGTCTTTGGCTTTAAGTGCAAAGATATTCCCGTGAAATATTGCCGATGAAAACATCTCCTAAAACTATTAACATTCTATCAGGTATACTTCCCGGTCCCCTTCACACTTCATGACTCTACATTGACACACATGACGACTGACTCAGTTGCAACGTTTCTACCTGAAAAGTTGAAGGTGAACAAGTTATCTGGGTACTGGCACCATAGGACAATAGACGCCGCCTGTCTCTACCGCTCAGACCTTGCAGCCCTGACAACCAGCCTAGATTCGGGCTCTGTTGAAGGAGCACTGGCCACCATGTTCAAGAATGCCAACCAAATGGAAAACATGAAAGTATGTGACAAGTTATTAACACTCCCTTACTAAGGTTTTATAGAAGTGAGTCACGTAATATATACAGTAGTAATGTGTAGTTAACACAAGTTATTGTGGAAGGCCTTCCCACTCACAATCTACTTATTGTTATTCATTACCCTACAATTTAATCTTCATATGAAATTACACCATAAAAAAAATATTTTCTTTCCTCTAACTTCCAATTTCTGCTGTTAAATTACTCTATTATATCCTCTTGGCACATTTGTGTACAATCTACATTTACTGTTAACTGTACACCAGCTACTGTGATATTGTTGTTTCATGTCATAAGAAATATACACCCCTTACTGTATATTAGCTCCCCACCATTATAACATCCATACAGCTCACTGAAAATTTTATACCATCTCAAAATCCACATTCCTGGCTTACCGTGATATTTATGCCTCCTACTGTAAAATCCATATATACAGCACTGTAATATTCACTCTTCATTGTAATAATTATTCTTAATATGAAATTCAAACATTCAAATGATATACAGTATTATTATTTATTTATTTAGTTTTTGTAAAATCCACCTTTTATTTTGGTTCTTGTTTTTTGTTATCTTACCCCCCTACGTTATACCTGATATCCAAAATTTCGTCTTTGGACTTCATACCTTGCCTTGAAATTGCTTCCTGCAGGTGGTACGTGCTCCCGATCCAAGTTTGTTTCACATCCACCATGACCACAGTTGCAGCAAGGAATCTAACAAGGCTAGGGCTGCCTGCTATATTGAGCTGGTCAAGGAGATGAGCTTACAGGAGGTGCTGCGGTTTGCACTGTTGATGCTCAACCGCAGTGTTGACCTCGAGGGGATTTTATCTAAGAGGTAAGTTGAAAGTATATATATATATATATATAAATACTGAGAGAAATGAGTATTGTACAATAAGTAAGTTCTACAAGTAAAGCTAAAAATAAATACATTTATAAATACTGTACTGTACTATAGTCATTGATGAAAACTAAGATAAGCAGTAACAAAATCGAATAATCAACTAAATCTAAATATGAAAAATAAACTTACCCAAGGGATTGAGGAAGGGGGGGTTTACTGTATAGTGTTATACAGTATACTGTATATCGTAACTTGATTCTGCCCCCACCCACACACACTGACGTTTGATGCTGGGATATAGATAGGAATCTATCTTTTTAATACATTAAATAGTATTAAAGAAATTTTAAGAAAATTGCTAAAACAACATTGTCTCTTATGTAACTACACAATATTACTAAATATAACTTTTCATATGGTACCAATGCTAGCCCATACCCACAACAATATTTACCAATAGCATTTTTATTTGGTAACCAGGACTTTCCTTTAGGTACTGGTGCTTGCTTATACTGTACCTATTGTTATCTATTAATAGCACTTTTCACCAGGTACCGGTACTTACCCATGTCAAGCATACCTACATTATCTACCAATAGCCGAATATCTACCTCACCAGTACCTATCAGTTTCCCCTCACATGAACAAGGTTACATGAGAAGGTCGCTCACTGTTCACTGTATTGAACTCTTTAGGTCGGCAACATTACTTACCCTAAACTAACATCACTTGCCCTTGACACTACCTTACATCACTTGCTCTAAATCTTACTTAACATACTTACCCTTGATCTTACTTAATATTACTTGGCCTTGATCTTACCTAACATCACTTGCCCTTGACCTTACCTAACATTAATTGCCTTTGGCCTTACCTAACATTACTTGACCTTAACCTTACCTGATATTACTGCCCTTGACCTTACCTAACATATTTGGCCTTAATCTTACGAAACACTACTTGCTCTTGACCTTACGTAACATTAATTGCCCTTGATTTTTGGTAACACTGATTGACATTGATCTTACCTAATATCACCATACCTTTAACCATCACGACTCTTCTGCAGGTACGAACTTTTGTGGATGGTGTCTGCCCTGGTCTTCTGTATGGTGATCTCAGTGGCATGTAACTGTCTTCAGGCGGCACTTCTCTTCAGGAGTGTTAGGAAACGAGGCCTGGGTGGCTGAGCCTCTCGCAGCATGGTTCCTGCAGACATTCGTGTGAGGATGCCTCGTGAGATCGAAGAAGGCGCATCGGGTGGAGCAGTAGTTCGAAAGATCCTCAACTGGTCCCCAAAACCGATGACTGAATGGTTCAGAAGTAATGTTGAGATAGTTCCGTTGTGTAACTACTGTACCTATAGGAGAACTTTTCTTCAGACATGTACTGTACATGAACAGAGTATTGGGAAGCTGAAGGGGCCGAAACAGATGCAAGAGGTCCATGGATCTTTACCATTCTGAAGAAACTATATTAGAATATTGCATTGGAGGTGAGATGTTCAGTAGATAAATTGAGATGGTTCGGTATGGAAGTTAAGATTGGTATAGTGTATTGCAGAGGTTGAAATGGTTATGTTGCAGTGTAGAAGTTGAAATAATGTAGTGTAGCGTAGTTTAGTGTACAAGTTTAGGAACATTAGTAAATATTAATACGCTATATAAAAAAAAAGGATTGCACACGTGTACATCAGATAACGAAAACAATAGAAATTTATCTTGTATCTTGTGATAAGGAAATGGTAATTAAAAGAAACTTTATATTTTTTCAATTTAATGTAAAATAGAGAACAATTGTACATAAATGAATAAGATTGAGAAAGTTAAACATGAATAACTATTTATAAACAATTAAAATCTAAAACGGAAAATACTCGATTAATTAAAAACAATGAAAGAATAGAATGTGTTAATATCATTTGTATTCTTTTACATTTATCGTTTTCTCTAATTGTCAATTTGTTAGCTAGTCAGGTGGTATGTTCTCTGTTGCATACTGTTGGCAAGCACTGGGCATTATGTTCTCTGTTGCATACTGTTGGCAAGTACTGTACTGGGTATATACAGGTTCTTGAATGCACCAGTGTCACAACATGCTCTGGCAGGTTATTACAAAAGTTCACATCTCTTACTCTACAGATGGCTTTTTTGACTTGAGGTTGTTACCTCTAGTGAGGCGTGCATCCGCTAACTTGATATATGTACAGTACGTCTGGATGAGTAAAGTCCTTTGATGTGCTTTTAAAGTTTTATTAAACTGGTCCTTTCCCTTCTATAGTAGAAACTAGGCAATTGAAGACTTTCTACGGGCGGTCTCAATTAATCTTCAGTCCTTGGTGCATCTCAGAGACCAAATAGAATCGTAGTGTACAGTACTCCACTACATTTTTGAAAGGCCTTATGAGAGACTGACTATCTAAGTATGTGTACAAGATCTTCGCAAGTCCCACCCCTTTGTTAACAAGATTCACCCTACACTGATCCAAGAACTTAATTCTGTTTTCAGTTTAAACACCCAGAATTTTCTCGCGTCTAGTTTCAATTATAACTAAGCGTCTTCGTCACTTTTGGACATGTAATAAGTTGAATCTCGGTATCTATTCCTTTGGCCATTCCTGAAGCTGGTATAGATCTTCCTGTAAAGCTTCACAATAGGCTATACAGCACTGCCTTTTAATTTCTGTCAATCAGTGGATAAAGTGTTAACATGAGTAAATCACTTTGAATTAATGTCCATGAAGCCACCAGCCATATACTGTACAATAAATACAGTTGAAGTAAAACTTCGTATGACGAAATGAGCTGATGGAATATTTAACACGCTTGACGTGAGAATGAATTAGTTTTTATTACAAATACTGTATGTAATTTGATAAAAACCTAAAAGTCAATTTTCGTGATAACCATTAAAAAGAATCCTAATGGGGGAAGGCCACATCAAGTAGGTTTCATTATAATTTCGCTGGATGTTACTTGAAAGGTTTGGATACGGCAATGCTTACGACTTTTGAAGTAATTTATATACATTTGTGGTTCCCTTATTACTGTGTGTGTAGCGAAATACATTTTTTAGGTAAATTACTTTCCTATTTAGCATTTCAACCTGTCATTGAATAATCAAGTGCTTTTTAAAAGAATAAAATAAATCAGTGGCTTGAAGTGCGAAAGAATATCTTGACGTTGATTGGAAGATCTGTGGATTCAGGCCTGGGAAATCATTGTGGGCTTCAAGGCCACAGGGTAAACGGTAGCTGGTTCTCGTTACCAGTGAAGAATGAAAAGATACAAAAGATCGTACATTAAAAAGCAAAAGAATTGAACAATCAGGAATTTCTGTAAAAAATTAGGGTCCGGGATTCGGGGAAATGTCCTAGCGTGGATCGGAGACTTTCTCCATGACCGCAAGCAATGTGTGGTGATTAATGGCACGAAATCATCATGTGTACCCGTCACAAGCGGGGTATAACAGGGCAGTCTATTGGGCATGCTGTTATTTGTTTGCTTCATAAATGACAAGCATGACGCTGTACATTCCCCCATACAAATGTTTGCGGATGACGAGAAATTATTTGGTGAAATTAAGACCCAAGCAGACTGTGAAGAGCTGCAAAAGGATCTCTGTGAGCTTCAAGAAGGGTCGAAGAAATGGCTGCTAAGATTCAATGTCACCAAGTGTAAGAGGCTGCACCTGGGACGTACCAACGGTAAGGAGGCATATCATATGTCCCAACGGGACGAAGAGACTGCATTAATTGAGATTGAATGTGAAGAGGACCTAGGTATGTATGTTGGCAATGAGCTGAAGTTCTCGGGCCATCGCGAGAAGGTGAAACCGGCAACTAAACTATTAGGTCTTGTAAGAAGGTCGTTCAGATATCTAGATCGTAACGATCTTCAAGAGTGAGGTGCTTCAATATCTGGAGTACTGTCACCCCGTCTGGTCCCCGAGATATGCTAGGGGACTGTCAGTTGATTGAAAGTGTTCAAAGGAGGGCCACCAGACTGGTGCCTGCACTTTGGCACCTCAGCTACCCTGAGAGATTAGAGAGCCTGAAATTGCCTAGTTTATACTGTACTACAGACGGGAAAGGGGGGACCTAATTGAGGTGTATAAACATCTTAAAGGGCACTACTCAGTCGAGTGTCCTTACAGCTTAAGGTTGAAGAAGCCTTAAGTCCAGAAAACTGTGAGGGGTAATTTTTTTTCGGAGTGAGAGTTGTTAACTCTTGGAACAATCTGCCAGAGAGTGTTGTGACGGCATCAAGTGTGAGCTCTTTCAAGACCCGACTTGATAAGCACTGGAGCAGGTTCAGATACATTCAGGAGCCAGTGCATGCCCAATACTTGCCAACATTGCGTAACAGAGACGTGACTGGTCGCCCAAGAGGCTAACGAGTCGATCAATGGTAAAGAGGATAAAAGTAAAAAAAAAAAAATAATGACAGAAGAGTTGACATGGTCACTATACCTGTAGACGAGTGCCAGGATCGCCAATTATGCATGGGCAATTATGTGACCAGAAGCGCACCCAAAGTATTAAGAGTTGTCAGTCATTCTGAAAAGTTTTTGAGGAATTAATTTGAGAAATACATTATAGATTGAATAAAGATCAATGTATGTTGCTGATCACCTAGCTGAGATACAGATACAGAGAATTCATGCGACAAAAGCATTTAAAATGTCCGACAGAATAGTTCTTAAATCAGTTTATTCTGCTGCGCAATGCTACCGTAGAGGTTCAACGCCAGTTTATTATGCTTATTTGATATATCAGTTATGATAATGTATTGGTGACAAAATTTCAAAATTAGATTAGTACTCCCATAACCATTTTCTAATACTGTACGATGCACTCTAAAGAAAATTTATATTATAACTTTATTGAAAATATTTTGGAAGGAATGTTTAGGCAACAGTTACGTTATGTATATAAATTCAATTTATAAATTTCTTCTACAGAATTAAAACTCATTTGTGTTCTTTGGCTTCGGTGTTAACGTTTACAAACGTTCATAGATGATATGTCATAAGAAGATGGAGGATACATGGGATAACTATAACAATGTTGGTCCTGTCGCGTCGGTCGTAATGTATATGGTCTGTGCTACAATCCTATTACAATCGGGCATACTATGTTAATCCACGGCTGTTGCACCTATTTCTACGCCCATTACTTACTTCCACCCATCTCTTGTTGTACTTCCACTAAACCTTTTCCATCTCTGTCACTCGAGATTTATCAGTATACTATATATAAACTTCAATATTTGATGAACCCCTCCCCAGGAGTAAAAGTAGAGCGAATGAATTGAGATGGAACAGTTGGAACTCTACCAAAAGGGGCAAACGCTTTAAACTGGAGCATCCAAAACGATTTTTTTTGACCATGCAACAGGGTAACTGCTAAAAATACAGTACAGTACAAAGGGATTGTGGTATGGATATCAACAGATTATCATTTGGAATGACAGTCACGATTTTATTATTTGGTGCTACTATAGCGTACGGTCTCACGCTCTGGAAATTTAAACAAACAAAAATTACCATTGTCATTTCGCACTTTAAGGTTTAATAAACTATTGGTGATTAAAGCTCAAATTTAGATTAGTTACCCTTTAAGAATTTTCTTTACTCCCTAAATCAAATTTCTGAAAAACTCTTTATTGAAAATATTTTAGAAGGAATGTTTAGGCAACAGTTAGATTATGTAAACAAATTCACTTTATAAAATTCATCTACAGAAACAAAACTCATTTGTGTTCTTGGGCCTCACTGTTAATGTTTACAAAGCTTCGTAGATGGTATAGCGCAGAGCAGGGAAGTTCGTGTCATACCGCGACTAAGTATAAAATATATATTAATAAAATACTGTTTAACTTTAATTTTTATAAGGCCGTATTGACTACCGATGTTGATGGCCAGGAAATTAAATGAACGAACGAACTTTTGATCAATGAAACCAGCGAAAAACGTGAAGTAATTAAACTCATGTGCAGAGAGGGAAACACTTAGAACTGGACACAAACAGTTAGAGAAAGATTGAAGTTCAGGAACGTGGGCACTGCGGCTGATGTTTTTACTGCGCTCCAACAGCTAATGTCAACACTTAGATTAGTAATTACACTATTCATTAACAATTAATAATCATGAGATACAACTTTCTATATTCCGTTACTAAGGCCATACCTCCGATAGTGCATCACTCGCATTCGTTATATACTGTATGTAACTATAACGTGGCCAGCAATAGGTGACCATTAACTCTGACTTCTAACTCTTCAGGGGTAAAAATAGATCAAATGAATTGAGATGGAACTCCTCTAAAAAGGGGCAAACACTTTAAACTGGAGCATCCAAAACGAATTGATTTAGACAATGCAACATGGTAACTGCTAAACATACGGTACAGTAGAAAGGGATTGTGGTATCTTGATCTTGATGTCTTTAGTTAAGATAGGAAAGAAGAAGGAAGACGTAGGAATTAGGGGGGAGGGGGGGAATAAATGTAGAGTTTAAAAATATCTAGACTGGACCAGATCGCTACATGCAGTTTTTCTTGTTATTTCCGTTGTTTATCATTGGGTCGTCAGACCTTTGTTTTTTTACTTTTTTGTGTTTTCGTTTTAACTGCTTTAACCTTTAAGTTTGCATGGGTTTTGTTGTGGTTTCTACCTTTCTTAGCTGCCTTTCTGTGATTATACAATAAATGCACGTGGTTTTTATGTTAGCCTGAACTACAGACTGGCAAGGGGCGACATAATTGAGGTGTATCAGCATCTCAAGGGGCACTACTCAGTCGAGTGTCCTTACTTGGAGCTGGCGGACGCTCGCCCCACAAGGGGTCACAGCTCAAGATGGAAGAAGTCGCAGGTCCAGAAAACTGTGAGGGCAAACTATTTCGGAGTGAGGGTTGTGAACTCTTGGAACAATCTACCAGAAAGTGTTGTGACGGCACCGAGTGTGAGCTCTTTCAAGATCAGACTTGACCAACACTGGAGCAGGTTCAGGTACATTCAAGAGCCGGTGCATGTCCAGTACTTGCCAACAGTGCGTAACAGAGACGTGACCGATCGCCCAAGCCGCTAACGAGCCGATCAGTGGTGAAGAGGATAAAAGAAAAGGAAAAGTAACAGAGACGTGACCGATCGCCCAAGCCGCTAACGAGCCGATCAGTGGTGAAGAGGATAAAAGAGATACATCATTAAGAATGGCAGTAATGATTTGGTGCTACTATAGCG